TCAGTTTCTGACGCGACCAAACGCGTTTGATTCTAACGTATTTAAACGCATTTATCACCAATTAACGCGTCCAAACGCGTTTCAATTGTAAGAAAACGCGTTCAGACTCGTTTTTAGTACAAAAAAAGGCGTTTAGCAGTGCGTTTGGTCTAAAAAAATGTCTGCCTGAGTAGAGAATCAAATTTTTCTAGATAGAAGTCAAAAGACTCATAAGTGAAATTTTTTCGCTTATTAATTCTTTCTTTTTCCGCTTGAACGAAAGTGGTTCATTTTTCAACGAAATTACAGTGTCCAAAAAGCACTACTGGATAAAAAATTTGCACAACTCATTCATATCTTGATCAAACTTCAAATTGGCTTTTTGTGTTTGATAGAGAAATGTTCCAAATTTTATTCGATATATTTGGAAATTCTTTGTATGCAATTCCACTAGTAGTTTTTCCTTTTATTATTTGATTTTATCTGAAAAAAATCTAATTACTCTTTTCCACCAACCTAGATGATGTCATGAAACGGGATCAGTACGAGATAAAAAAATTCACACCTTTCGGTTATTTTAAAATAAAAGCAAATAATTATTTTGTTATGTGAACGCGAACATCATGTATTTTATTTTAATATCAGAAATTATTTATGTTTTATTCAAGGAGTTTTACGTTAAATAACTCATTATAAGAGAGTTTCAGAAAATCTAAATTTCATTATTATAAAGTCAAACATTTTTTCAAATATTAAGAGAAATTTCCAAATATATATAAGATAAAACTTGGACGTTTCTTTATTAAAATCAAAAATCAATTTGAAGTTTGAGCAAGAAGTGAATAGTTATGCACCGGTTTCGGTTTTCAAACCGAAAAACCGACACGAAAAAACCGAACATTGTTGCACTCAAGCAATTTTCATAGATGGTAGGATACTATATAGTATCTATAGGCAAAAGATCATTGAAGTCGGCGTTGGACATCTGGAGAGGTCCCCTCGTAGTATTATTGTGAAATTTTGTGTCTCGATAGCTATATGTAACTCGAGAAATCGCAGGACATAACACAGATGATCAGAAGAAGAGACATATGGGATACTCCATTCACTAAGGGGCAAAAAACCGATATTAAAGTCGTTTGTTAAGTCAAGATGTAGATTTGTGTATGCTTTTTTCTGGTTTTAGTGGTTTTAGCTTTTTGATTGTCGATTGACCGAAACCGGTATAGATAAAATCAGATGTTTCTTTGACGATGGTGAATAGATGTTATGTGCTCATGATTTATATCATTTTAAAACCTTAAATAAAGATTTTTGGGAGTTTTTCGGTGTTGGTTAACCGACACCAAAGACACTGGTGCATACCTAGAAGTGAATGAGTTATGCAAGTTTTTTTATCTGATAGTGACTTTTGGATCACCTTGTATATTACACATTTCTCATTAATGATGATATTGTGAAGAAACGACGGTCTTTTATCAGATTCTTATTTTTTACGTTTCTTACACTCTCCTTTATGCTGTCATTTAGGATCTCTAACAAAAATAAGAAATCGTCAGTCAGGTTTAAGCGAACTCGAAGGGTATTTTTTTGAAGCATATCTGCCTCAAATACAAGATGACGCACAGCATTACAAAAAATATAACATACCACGTGTACTCGATTTTGCTTCTAAAGTAATGAAAAAAAACAGTATGTCAGAGTATATTCTTACTTTAGTTTGTAATCACACACCTTTTCTATCTCCAGGATGTTCAAATTCGAATTTGTGTCTAGCACCTGTATTAGCTCTCAAGCCAACAGAACTCTAAATTAATACACAATTAAATAATCACTACTACTCATTTCATAATATAGTGTGCTTTGTCGTTCTGAAGTCAAATCTTAGAGCCGGCGACACATTAAAAACATTCCAGAGTCGATATCCACTTCATCAGATATACTTCTGGGTTCTCAAAATCCTAATAAATTTTTATTTGTGAAGACGTACTTGGACAGAACAATATTTATTTTACAAATCTTCATCTATCACCGTTCATTTGTACTTCAATTTTCCTGAATCATGCGTATCCGATGATTTGAGATCTGAACCTTGGATTATCCATCGCTTACATAACTTTCTATCTTTCAAAGTCTCTCCACCCCATACGTTTCAATAACATTTCCAGTTTTATTTCCTCCTACTGATAAGTCATATATCAGTGTGCTAATAGACAAAGCATTAAATAATTACCTGATGCTGTAGTACACATATTTCATGATGCGCGGGCAATTCAAACTTAGTGCACATGTTATCAAACTTCAAATCTCTACAGTATATATGCGCCTTTACACTATTTGTGAAACGGATGCCCGCTTCGGCCTAGCCAGTGCTTCGTAGGGCCAGCCTGCAGTATCTTTTACACGATTATAGTACTTCAACGTTGGCTAGTGCTTTGTGTACCATATGTATGCACTTTGTGTCTACAGCTTTCTATTCCTTATTTTTCTTGTATTTTCTCAGTTATCTTGCTGTACACAATTCTGTTTTGCACTTTGTGCTTTTAAGAGCCAAATAAATATTATATTGATGAACTCACACTAAAAAGTGGAGAAGCGCAAGAATGATATATTGAAAGCAAAAAAAGAACAAGATCTGAATTAACTGAATGTAGCAATGGACCAGAACTAAAAAGTCAAGAAAAACATGTGTCATCCTCATTACTATATAAAGAAAAATCGCCCATAATGATGCTGGTACAATAGCAATTTATTATTCATCAAGCAGTCCACAAACTGATTCAAATATATTCTCAAAAATGTTTACACCAAATATGTCGCAGTATGAAGGACTTCAAAATCTAACTGATGGAATCTGATCTTTATGATGCACATTGTTTATTATGTTATTCGACGCCAGATAAATGGAAAGACATTTGAGAAATTAAAAAAGGATTTCCTGTTGAGAGGACAGCTCAAGCTACGTTAGAATTATATGAACAAATGATTGATGAACATAATGAAATCAAACGAAAAGCTAAAGATTATATCGTAAAGATTTAACATCAAGATCATTAAGTAATGATGACCAACATTACGTTACAATTACGCATCAGTATACAAATTTAACAAAATGGATTTGTAGAAGAATTAGAAGAAAAAACAGATTTCAAATTAGTTAGTCGCCGTTTTCCCCGAAAATAGAAGACTGGTGGTCTACTAATGTGTTTCGTCAAATCATGGTCGCTTGGATGGTCTTCTATTAAGGTACAATATTTCCCGTTTGCCAGGAGAATTAACGCTCTTTTCTATAGGAGAACTAATTTCTATTACTTATATTCTGTTTTTCTCGTTTATTCGATCACTCTTTTGTTACCAAAATGATTCAACACGTTCAAATAAAGATGTTAATTGTAACATCTTTTAATCTTTGTTTAGGAAAGAAAATATGCTTTGCTTTAAGTTCATATTTTGTGTGACGCTTGCATCTGTATATGCACACACGAATACGTATATTTATATGATCATTCTTTTGCTTTAGTTATGATATCAAACAGTATTTTATTTGTTATTATTCTATAAATTATTATATTTATATGATTTTATAAATATCGTTCTTCCAAGTACGTCTTCACAAATAAAAGTTTACTAGGATTTTGAGAACTCAGGAGTATATCTGATGAAGTGGATGTCGACTTTGAAATGTTTTAATATGTCGACAGCTCTAAGATTTGACTTCAGAACGACAAAGCACACTATATTATGAAATGAGTAGTCGTAATAGTCCTAAAAACGATCACTTACTACTCTTTTGACTCCCGCATCTTCTGCCATCTCAGTGACAATTTTTTTCCCTGCTTCCACCGTTTGCATCTTATCCCTTTCTAATTCAACTGCAAGTTGTTCACTAGATTTTAATGTTCTGATATTGGCAGGACCCAAATCCACGAGTCTGTATAGATTATTAGATTTTAATGATAGAATCAATAAGATTTATAATCTCTTACCTCATAATATCGTCGTCCCACCTTCCAAAGCAAAGATCAATTCCTCCAATAAACGCAATTTTTTGATCGATAATCACACATTTTTCATGATGAGACCACATTAGTTCCCTGCCACGTAAAACATTTTGTCGGGGATGACGAATGATCTAAATAAAGATCTTATTAGACAGAAGTTTCGTAAAGTTTTGCATCCGTATTACTTTGATATTATTTTTATTTCTGGCTTTTAAAACTCGTGCAGTATGTGCACTATTTAAATTTATGAACATTGATTCACGATAAATCATAACATAGATTCGGATACCGTCATCCTAAAAGTAAAATAATATATGTTTTAATCTCTAAACCAAATAGATTATGGTGTCGCAGACCGCTTTTTTCCCTAACAGAATATCTAGTCGATGTAAAGGATTATTAGATGGTCGTATAAGCATCAATTCCGGCGATAACCACCAGTCTGTAATAAATATTTCTTCTTTAGCGTTCGCAATTGCTTTTGCAATAGATTCCATATAACCTTTGGCATTGACAAACCTAGAGTAATATTCATTTTGACATTATCTTAAGAGCAACATGATTGAAAGTCTCACCAGTAACTCAACTGATCACTTCTCATTGGTACAAAAGAGTTGAATCGATTTGCTGTACCTCCGGTAAGACCGTTTCTGCTACATCTTTCTCGTAGTTTCTCGAATTGTTCATGCCAGTCTTCTTTTCTACTTTTCTTATTACACTTAACAACGACTGATCCTTGTAAATTTGTTATTTTAATACCATGTTTTGCTCCCGTATGTGTAAAACCCGATTCAATTAAAAATTCGCGATCAACTAACATTGGAAAACGAACTTCATACGTTGATGGATCAATATACGTAAAATATGTATCTTTAATAACAAACCACCTAGAAGAAATCAAGACTAAAAGTTTGTGAAAAATTAATATTTATTCTTACCTTTTTCCACGATAAAAGTTACACTTATCACAACAGAATGGTATTCGATAAATAAAACTGCGTCCTCGATAATTCTCATGTGATCTTTTTTTCATAAAATGCTCTTTTAAACTTGGACTAAGACCATAAACAAATGATAATGGACTAATTTCAAAAAATTCAGACTAAAAGCAGAAAATCATATGTAAATTTATACTTTGATAAAAAGAAAACATCAATAATTACAACTGCTGGATGATTACGAAATTGACTATGTATCAATATTTTATTCAAATATTCTTGTAGGAGAGTCTGAAATTTGTAAAAACTGATCTTGAAGTTAGTTATACATAGGTTTTTCTTTAACTTACGCAACGAGATCGTATTGATTGTTCATTAATCCCTGCAGCACGATCACTTCGAGCAGGAAAACATGGTCCTTCGGTATCTTCTCCTCGCGTTCTTTAATAAAAGAAAACGGAAAATTGTAACATCTTCTAAAGATCGACCTGTTTAGAAGTTGACCTATAATTAGGAAACGAGTCTATTGCTCAGTTTTGTTTAGTAAGTCAATATTTGATCACGTGTTTATAATGTTCAAATAGCCCTCATCATCAGAAATCTTTAATAAATACTTCTGTAAAAATTGTCAACCATATATGTTTGAATTGTATGTTTTACGCTAACTAATTGTATGATTACGAGAGAGAACTTTCAAAACGAAAACCTGAAGTATCTCATTTTCTTTATGAATGGGCAAAAATTTTAGTACGCATAATAAAGTAACAGCAGTAGTTTCCATTTTATTGAAATACATATAATTAAATTAAAACGAAATATTTCAACGTTTCGAACTTTAAAAGTTCATTTTCAAGAATAAAACATAAACGTGTCACTAGCTGGTTAGATTTACTAGTTATTATTTAATTATATGTATTTCAATAAAATGGAAACTACTGCTGTTACTTTATTATGCGTACTGAAGTATCTCGCCGTTTATTGTGAACAACTACTATCAATTTCGAAATATGAGTCAGTCCATTGTTTGCCTAATAGCGTTCGATAGCAAAAAACTATTTAAATGTATCTCAGATCTGCACCTTTCAAGGTTCCCGAGCTAGAAATGTTCTCCAACCACCATGCTGTCTCGGTTCGCACAATCCAAGAGACTTCGAAAAGACTCGGGACACAGGTAATCGAGTACCGTGAGCATTGTAGCAACGTTTGTTTTTCTACAAAAGTTGAAGAAAGTGCTCCAGTATCATTTGCCTACGGACTTCTAAACTTCAAACAGATATATCTCACTCTTTTTAAGTCAGAAATTGACAAACTTTCACGAAACACTCATAATATGATGACAAATAAGAATAAAGTGGAAAAACTTATCAGCTATGACTGTTTAATGTTGCGGCTCTTCAGAGAGTTTCTATAAATCCTTCAAGTTCTGAAGTATTTGGATTCAATTTTTTTGTATCGTACTAGCAACTATGATCATTGGCAAGTCTATCCCGAAAATTTGGTCAATTTCCGAGGTGAAAAGAGCGAGATATATTTATTTGAAGTTTAGGAGTCCGTAGGCAGGGACCTGAGTAGGTGCCGGACATTGGAGGGGTGTAACGAAAGTTTTTTGTCCGAGATAGTGTAAACTTTATTTTAAATAATTACCTTGTTACTGTTCTTTTAAATTTTTGGGGGTGTCACGGCGTCACAGTTTTTCTGTTTTTTCTTTCATTAATACAGATTAATTAGAATAATTTCGAGCTCGACAAGTTGTAATATCTTGAGCAAACAATTTTCTACAAATTGGTATACTTGTTCAGTTTCTACCAGCTCGTCGTCACTCTTTTAGACACGCTTTTTAGATAGCCCCAAAATCGATTTTTTGGGCTGTTTGTACAACAGCTGTATTTTCATAACGAATCAACATTCAGAGCCGAGGTACTTTTCATTTTGTAGAGAAATGTTTAATCTACTTAATTATCCAGTTGCAATTTTAATTTACTTTATAGCTTTATTGCAATAACTTTTTGAAAAAGAGCAAAAAATGAAGACCGTTAGCTGGGCAAGCCGTTTTGTAGCTCCGCAACCTTGAAGCTCGCAGATCTGAGACACATTTCGAACTGAACTGGTCTGTCGCATCTACCTAACGTCTCAGAATTTAAAATCCTAAACTTTTTCAGTGATGAGTAATCTTCTAAAAGATGTCCTGAAGAGGCTCACCACCTGTCGGTAGTAGTTTTGTTAGTGTTATTCTGAAGACATCCCCATCAGTTTACTTTCCAATAGTGAAAGTCGCAGCTGTTTAGCTTTTTACTATCAAAAGTTATTAGACAAACAATGGACTGCCTTATATTTTGAAATGCATAGTAGTCCTTGATGATGCAACTACGATTCTTACACTTTTAAAGCATTCTCTAGAGAGTTAAAAAAAGACTAGTACACCTAGATGGACTAAAGGTTTTGTGCTTGTACAGAAAATGTTTTCAATTATCAAATGCAAAAATACCGTGTTAGTCTAAATTTGTCTCTCGCCTTCCTCTCAAGTGTTTTTCAAACCAATCTTTTTTTAGAAACGATAAAAGAAAAAATTTTCAAAATGTGTCTGAAAAAATCCTGGAATTTTTCAAGATCTAATGCTCCTACCTGTCTCTACAGGTACGTCCTTGAAATTATTCTCAGTTTTCACAGATTCAAGCTATCCAGATTGTAAAAAACAATCACTCTATTGGTTGTCACTGAATATGTCTACTCCTTCTACAAAAGGAAGTTGAAATTATCGTGCATGTTTCTCTGTACAATGTCAAGAAAAAGCAAAAAACAAAGTACACTCGCCACATAACCCAAACTAGAATTAGTAAGAAAAATTTATTAGATATTTTTACTCACTCATCTAGAGTAGCGAGAGATCGTTTTGTTTCAGAAAAAATAGAATGTAAAAAATAGAAAGCAAAAATGTTAGTGCATAAAATCTCACGTTTGTTTATACGATAATAATTTGACATTGGAAGAGTAACGCACACTAGAAAAATAAAAACAAATATATTTTTCAGTTTAAATGTTCTTTATCAAACTGAAACTGAAATAGTAAGTAATATACGTTATAGTACAAAACTCAATAAGTTTTTCAAAATTTATTAGATATTTTTACTCACTCATCTAGAGTAGCGAGAGATCGTTTTGTTTCCTCAACAAATTTTAATAATAATTTGTGTAATTTATTAAAGTGTTTATATCGTTTTTGAATGGTCCATTCGAATGAACCATGTTCAACAACAAGCGTGTATCTATAATACAAATATTCAGCTTTCGGTATATCTTTCAATTCATTTACTCACAGCCAGGGATTTAGAAATTGTTTAACAGGTGAATGATGCTCAGCGTTGACTGATTTGACACGAACATTGATGTTTGGTAAGAATGAACGATTGTCTCGATCGTAGACATGTGCAACAGCAAATTTATCTCCTAAAGGTAGAGAGAGAAAGAGAAAGACATAAATCTTTGAACGCGTACAACATGCTTTAGTTACGAACCAATTTGATAAATGGGATCAGCATTTAAATTACCAACGTCTTTCAGAGGGGGATAGGGAAGATATTCGACATATTTTTCAGCTATATGAACAACATTGAACGTTAACTGAGTGATATCGTGTGTTTTATCAAAAAGAGCGTTAATGCCACTCCCCGCATCAGCAGCACCATTTGACATCTGAAAATACATAAAGTATTAATCAATTTCTATCGTTTGTTATGATAAATTATCGTCCCGTCCGATGCGCATTTATTTTTTTGAATACCTTCGGAACGGAAAGAGATAAAGAGATCTGGTTTTCAGCAATAGAAGAAGGACACTCGAAAGTATGTTTCTGCAAGCAAAACTATTTTGAAAATATTTTTCAGAAAGTAGTTTTCAAAGAATTATTGGAAAATTAGCTCGTGGCCGGAAAATTTAACATAAGAATCTAATGATTTTTTTATGAAAAGATACTAGAAAGAGTTCTCTACAAAGTGGAAACTAGGCGATCTCTTGATTTTTTGTGATTTGGGCATGGCATGGGATTTCCTCGAAGTCACAGGATAGATATTTCTTTAGGTGTGGTAATCTTGAAAATGAGTGGAAACATTGGTTTTCGACTATGCTGAGTCTCATGGTAACGTTTGCTTTTCGAAAAAAAAGTTTAAAAACTTTGAAAAAAACCTCAGTTAGGGGAAATACTTTGCCTATTTTCGTGAAAAAATTAGAAACTCATCACTCAGTCAAAATCAATGCAAACTACTTGAGAATATCAAGATACACTCTATTTTATCTGCTTAATCTAATTCTACGCTTAAAATTAGTAAAAATCTTCTCTTACTTCTGAAGATTTCTAGAAAACCGAGTCAAAAACCGAAGTTTTATCTGTTAATTTTTAGAAGTTCTGTTGAAGTCCATGATGTAATGGAAATAAAATCAAGCACAAACTCGAATGATATATAGGACCAGAAGTCCTGAAGCACTTTTCTATTAAATTTTTATCCATATTGATGTTTAATATTTAACTCAAAAGAAAGAGAATTTATAGAAAACTGTCGATTTTATTTTGTCGAAATTTCAGCAGAATATTCACGATATTAAAATGTTCTAATTTTGTAAACGACTCAGAATAACCTTAACTTCTATTGCAAAGCGTTGTTAATCTCTCAATTCAACTTTCAGATAATTATTTTAAAGTCAAAAGATAAAGAATTTTACGCTGTATAATCTGACAGTGTTTGTGTTAAATGATTATTCTTCTCTGCATGAAAGAAAGCCCTAAACTGACTGACTTACATAGAAAATCCATATTATCGGTATTTTGTTTTTAAACTCAAAAATTTCATGTAAAAAAAAACTCATGCATTTTATACCAAAAGACGTGGAATTTGTCACTTTACAAGGTTGCTTACACTACAAAATAAAATTATAAATTGAATTTTAAAAGTAAAAAATAATATTAGATGCTACTAAAGATGGATCCTCCTAGATACCCAAAAACCTTTCATGGAAAACTCTTTCTAGAACCACCTTGACTTAGAGGGATTTTGGTTTGCCACATGAAGTATGAAACTTTGTATCGAATTTCACGCTGAATTTAATGGTGTATTGTGTTTTGATTAATAAATCATTTTTTAGTCAGTCTACGCTAAGAGGATCCCTATTTATATACAGTGGTCAACAGAAGTGATCATACACCCCTCATATTAACTTATGATTGATATTTCTCTGAAACCAAATCATCTGTAAAATTCAGAGTTTCGCTAAAATGTTGCAAATTTATTGTAGTTTATTTGCTGAAAATAGAAAGTGCTTATGCCACACAGTCATTGTGCTAGGTCAGGAAGAGTGAAATGAACGACTTTCTTTATTCAACTAAATTGATCATACAGTTCGATTTTTTAATTTTTTATAAAGTAGACTTTAGTTTTAGTTTGACAAACCGAGCGTATTTTCTGCAGTTTTTCTCACTCTTTTGACTCATATTTACTACAGCGTTTTAAACTAAAGAGTGAAGAAAAAGGAAACGAAATACAAAACAGACATTTTTTTTCTATTTTTCTATATCTTTTTGTACTACTTCGTGTAAAAAACTAATATTTTCATCAGAAAAAATTTTTATTTTTCAAATTGCGCTCATTACATTTCCCACACAAAACTACAAAGGCACTTAAGTTTATTAACCTTGAAAACGTTTCCTCATGAAAATATAAATTTTTTACGCGAAGCATTACAAA